ACCTCTTTCCAATGGGGAGTAAGCACCCCATACGCATTGATTTATTCGACGACGAAGTAGATTCCATCCGCAGCTTCAACCCCGAAGACCAGCTCACCATCAAGCAGCTGGAAAAAGGTTGAGTTACTCCCTGCACAAGAGTTCCCACTGAATCCTGAAGGCATTAAAACCTTCCGCACGAATTACAGTGAACAGCTCGGCGGTGACTTGTCACGCAGCCAAATTTACGACAATGTCACCAACAGCACACCACCCGCAGGTATCGAATATTATCTGCCGTTATTTTTTAACGAAACCGCCACGCTGTTTGATTACCTTCCTGAAAAAACCTTACTCATTCATAGCAATGACACCCGCATTGCTGCCGATACGTTTTTCACCAATGTCATCGAACGTCACGAACAGCGCCGCCACGATATTGAACGCCCGATACTCGATCCCGCCGCCCTGTTCCTCAATACCGAGCAATTAGACGTTGCATTTAGCCAACTGCGCAATATAAAAACCCACAGTTACGAACAAGAAGGCGACGGATACAACTATCCCAGCTATTCGCTACCTTCCATGCTGATTCAAGCCCGTGCTGAATCCCCCTTTGATGCTACTACGGCAGTTTTTAACCGTACATCAAGGACGCATTCTGTTTACCGCTGAATCAGCAGGTCGCCGCGAACATTTACTCGGGCTTTTACGTGACCATCAATATCCCGCCAGCACCAGCAGCGACTGGCAAAACTTCTTAGAAGGCAGCAGCAAACTCAGCGTTACCATTGCACCGCTAGAAGATGGCCTCTGGCTAAAGAATGATGAGCAACAAGGCGAACTGGCGATCATTCCTGAAGGGCTATTATTTGGCCAACAAGTCCAGCAAAAACGCCGTCGCCAACGCAAAGCCACCCGTGATGCTGAATCCATTATCAGCAACCTCACCGACCTTAATGACGGCTCGCCCGTGGTACATGAAGAGCACGGTATTGGGCGTTATTTGGGTATGCAAAAGCTCACAACTGACGACATTGAACAAGAATACATTACGCTTGAATATGCCAAAGGCGATAAACTCTACGTCCCCGTTGCCTCCCTACACCTAATTAGTCGCTACAGTGGCGCGAGTGCCGAAAAAGCGCCCTTACACAAGCTGGGCACCGATTTATGGGATAAAGTTCGTAAAAAAGCCGCACAACGCGCCCATGATATCGCCGCCGAGCTACTCGAAATCAATGCACGTCGCGCCGCCTTAAAAGGTCATGCATTCGAGATTGATGAGATCGATTACCTGGCTTTCTCAGAAGCCTTTCCTTTTGAAGAAACCCCCGATCAGGCACAGGCCATCGAAACCGTTAAAAATGATCTGGCCTCATCACAACCGATGGATCGTGTGGTCTGTGGTGATGTTGGCTTTGGCAAAACCGAAGTGGCGATGCGCGCCGCCTTCTTAGCCGCCAACGGAGGCAAACAAGTCGCGATGATTGCTCCGACCACCCTACTAGTGCAGCAACACACGCAAAACTTCCGCGACCGCTTTGCGGATTGGCCATTTGAAATAGAAACCCTATCGCGCTTTCGCACCCCCAAACAAACCAAGAAAACCTTGGTGAAATTAAAATGCGGTAGTGTCGACATCGTTATCGGTACGCACAAACTATTGCAAAGCGACATCAAATTCAAAGATCTAGGCTTAGTCATTATCGACGAAGAACACCGCTTTGGGGTACGTCACAAAGAACAGCTCAAAAAGCTCCGCGCCAATGTTGATATGCTCACCATGACCGCCACACCGATTCCGCGCACCTTGAATATGTCGCTATCGGGCTTGCGCGATTTAAGCATCATCGCCACGCCTCCTGCGCAACGCCATGCGATCAAAACCTTCGTCAAAGAATGGGATAAAGCGCTGATACAAGAAGCCTGCGCCCGCGAGCTTTCACGTGGCGGACAGATTTACGTACTGCACAATGAAGTCAAAAGCATTCAGAAAATGACCGACGAGTTACGCAGCTATCTACCCAATGCCGAAGTGCGCTTCGCCCACGGGCAGATGTCGGAGAAAGAACTCGAAAGCATTATGAAAGACTTTTATCATCAACGCTTTCATGTGCTGGTCGCCACCACTATCATCGAAAGCGGCATCGAC